GCCAGGTTGGTCTCGAACTCCTGACCTCAGGTGATCCACTGGCCTCAGCCTCTCAAAGTGCTGGGATTACAGGCGTGAGCCACTGCGCCCAGCAGATCCTGGCTTTCTAAGCCAATGTGACAACGCATTCACCAGGCTTCCCTCACCAAGGAACTGGAGAAAGGGCAGGGTACTATAAGACCACCTAACAAATTTTCATGACAAAAAAAATCTCAATGAAGCCGATCACAAAATGTGATCAACAAACTATAGAAGGTTTGCCCGTCACCGAAACATTCCAATTACCTTATGATTCCACCAAGATAAGAAAAAGTTGGGGGAGTGGGGGGAACAATAACCAGGAAGAGTTGGTGATGTAAGGCAGTGGCTGCCGATCAGGGCTGCACATTAGAAGAAACCACCAGAGAACACGAGGTCAGGAGATCAAGACCATCCTGGCCAGCATGGTGAAACCCCGTCTCTACTAAAAATACAGAAATTAGCCGGGCGTGGTGGCGCATGCCTGTAATCCTAGCTACTCGGGAGGCTGAGGTGAGAGAATCCCTTGAACCCAGGAGCACTCCAGCCTGGCAACAGAGCGAGACTCCCACTCAATAAAAAAAAAAAAAAAAGCAACCACCAGAACAAATGCAGGCCCAGACCCCATCTCGGACCAAGTGCCTCATGAGCTCTGAAAAAGGGCCCAGGAACTTCAGCATTCTAGACTACAGCATTCATTTCTTTTGGTTTGGGCAAGGAAAATATAAACAAGGTGTAATTCATGAACTTAGTTATCAGGTAACCCACCTGTTTCAGACTGAGGTGGTGCAGAAGGCAGGGGGATGACTGCAAGAGAGCAATCTCTGGTCACAGGCCAAGGAACCCTCATGTCCCCCACGAGAGAATGGGTTCAGATACAAAACATTTATTTAGCGCTTACTGGGTAATATTCTAAATGCTTTATTTTTATGACTCATTTAGTCCTCACAACAGCCCAGTGAGATGAGTGTGGCATTATCCCCACTTTGTAGGTGAGGACACCGGGGCCCAGAGGGATTAACCACGACCAGGTCAAGGTCATGAAGCTGGTGAACCTAGAAACAAACTGAGTTCTGGCCAGGTGCGGTGGCTCATGTCTGTAATCCCAGCACTTTCAGAAGGCGAGGTGGGTGAATCACCTCAGGCCAGGAGCTCCAGACCAGCCTGGCCAACACGGTGAAACCCTGTCTCTACCAGAAATACAAAAAAATTAGCCGGGCATGGTGGCGGGTGCCTGTAATCTCAGCTATTTGGGAGGCTGAGGCAGGAGAATCAGTTGAACCCGGGAGGCAGAGGTGGCAGTGAGCTGAGATCCTGCCATTGCATTTCAGCCTGGGCGACAGGGTCAGACTCTGTCCCCTGCAAATGACTGAGTTCGAAAGAAATTGTTTCCAAGACCTACTTAGCCAGCAGGCTGTGATGCTTCTACACAGAAGAAATAAACCTCTCCACGAGAAAGCAGCTCAAAATAATCCAACTCTGAAAGCTAATCCCATACTCACTCAGGGTTCTTAGGCGAGGACCTGGCCAAGTCTGTACAATTGAGCTTGTGAGACAGTGGGCCTCTGCAGGACCAGCTCCAACAGCCAGGCGGCAGCCACCACTCACATGAACCCCAGGGTCCCTGAGACGCGACAAGGCCCTCTATCCAGCACGCCAGCCATCCCACACTCCCGTCAAACCTCAAACCTGCCACTCAGGATGTTTCTTATTTTCAGTTACTTCTAAATTTAGACTAAGGTTGTAGTCCAGCCTGCCTATTGTACAAAATTTTCTGGGTTGTTTTCTATTTTAACTGCTGCTGTCTGTTGATACTGCCTTATCTCTGCCCCATCACGGAACAATCTTTCAGTTCTTTTATCCTGTTTACTTCCCTTTGCTTTTATCTTCCAGTGTAAAGTGGGTACTAGGAAGCAGAAGCAATGAGAAGGCAGAGACCCAGGTGGGGAACTAAAGTGCCTTCTCCGCTCCAGCAGGTCCAATTGGGCTGCTACTTGACCAGAGTATTCAGGGATTCTTCTGAAATTTACTAATTTTGAAGACAGTTTAGAAACCTTACCAAAAAAAAAAAAAAAAATACAGTGGCTTTACTTTCACACTTTATTCTTGAGTCAGTCTGACTGCCTAACTTGACAAAGTAGACTCTGTTCTGAAGGATATTTGATGACTGCAAAATCGCAAAATTTTAAGAGATAAAGCAATGTGGCCGGGCCCTCATGCCTGTAATCCCAGTACTTGGGAAGCCGGGGCAGGTGGATCATCTGAGGTCAGGAGTTTCAGACCAGCCTGACCAACACGGTGAAATCCCAGCTTTACTAAGAATACAAAAATTAGCTGGGCAAGGTGGTGGGTGCTTGTATCCCAGCTACTTGGGAGTCTGAGTCAGAAGAATCGCTTGAACCCTGGAGGCAGAGGTTGCAGTGAGCTGAGATGGCACCACTGCACTCTAGCATGGGCAACAAAGTAAAGCTCTGTCTCAAAAAAAAAGAAGAAGAAATAGACCAAAATATTAACAGTGGCTATCTTTAGAGAAACAAATCGTGAGCAATCTCAGTCATACTTTACATCAGAGGACAGCAAATTTTATGTGTAATGGGCCGTAGAGTAAATATTTTTGGCTTTGCAGACCCTAAGTCCTTGTCACAACTACTTACTTGACTCTGCCACTGCAACAGGAAAGCAACCAGAGACAAGGCATAAATGAATGGCATGACTGTGTGCTAATAAAACTTTATTTACAAAAACAGGTGGTGGGCTGATTTTAGTCTGTGGGTTATAGTTTACCAATCCCTGTTTTGTTTTGTTTTTTAATTTTTATTTATTTATTTATTTTTTGGTATCTGTAAACCAGAAGGGCTCAGACAGAAAAGAAAAAAAAAAAAACAAAGAAAGTTGAGCAGACACTGTTGCTTGTAGCATGGTAGCATATACGTGCAAGCTTATAAAATCCTTTAAATAATCTAACCTAACATAATATGTCTCATTCAAAGTCATATTCCAGAAACAACCGTATCTGTGAACCGTTTTATGAGGTCAAGCCTGCCATCTTGTGGTCACATGAAATAACAGCCTTTGTGCTCTTCATTCTCCTTTATTAAGGGTATGCAACTCACTGGAGTCGCTTTTCAAAAATTTGACTGGGATGTGGGGACCACAATGACAAAATGAGCTAAGGAAGTCAATTGTAACTGAAAGCAATCAATTTTCTGAAGCTTCAACTCGTCAAATTCTTCCAAGGAGCCAATGAACAAAAGAATGAGCTATCACAGGGCTCCTGCTTCCTCTGCAAGCCAAGCTTCAGAAAGTGATTTGAAAAACAACAATGGCAGGGCAAGAATACCCATGTCCCAAGAGCCTTCCGCTTCACATTTTGAATGGAACGCTTCTTTTTTATCCCAAGCTTTGAAAAGAGAAAATAATGACAGAACCCTAACTCACTAAATGAACCCAATAGAGAAATAAACGACAGCTGTGCTGTTCATCCGGTCGTTCACTCACCCTCTTGCTGAACAAGATGGGGCCACCTGTGTAGTGAACCACATGTAAAGAGCCAGGAACAAAAACAAGGAACATAAACCCAGTCCCAGGAAATAAATTCAGGCAAAGAGAGAGACACAAGCAAGAAAAATTGCATGATCGAATGAAGGCCCACATGGAAGTCAAATTTGCAGGGTCGTGGGGGCCCAGAGGATGGAGCTAACTCTGTGGAGTCTCAGGAAGACTTTGAAAGGCAGGTAGCACTCACGCGGCCTCTAGGAGAATGAGCACAGGTGGCCAGAGGGAGGGGGAGAGGAAGGAAGGGCAGCGGGCTTCACTGATGGGTTCTGGTTCAGCCTTCAGGTTGAAAAAGTTCAAAAGGCAAACAGCAAACAAGCGCTCTGCACACATTTCCACTCCGGGCCTCTCAGCATCTCAGCTCACATCCTTCTCTCAGACAGCAGGAAAGCAGGGCTGGGTGGCTTGGAAGATGATGACAGGGAAGGCAGGAAGAGAGGTAGGACTTAGTCTCAGCACCTCATGTGATTCTCAGCACTTGTTCTTTTTTTTTTGAGACAGAGTCTCACTGTGTGCCCAGGCTGGAATACAGTGGTACGATTTTGGCACTCTGCAACCCCTGCCTCCTGGGTTCAAGCAATTATCCTGCCTCAGCCTCCCAACTAGCTGGGGTTACAGAGCTTGGGATTACAGGCACACGCCACCATGTCTGGCTCATTTTTATATTTTTAGTAGAGATGGGGTTTTGCCATGTTGATCAGGCTGGTCTTGAACCCCTGATGTCAAGGGATCTGCCTGCCTCAGCCTCCCAAAGTGTTGGGATTACGGGCATGAGCCACCGCTCCCAGCCTTTTTCTTTCCTCTTAAGAGATAGGTCTCTGACTCTGAGGCTGGAGTGCAGTGGTGTGATCACAGCTTACTGCAGTCTCCAACTCCCAGGCTCAAGCAATCCTCCTGCCTCAGCCTCTGGAGTAGCTGGAACTACAGGTGCTCACCACTATGCCCAGCTAATTTTTTTTTTTTTTTTTTGGTAGAGACAGAGTTTCACTATGTTGCCCAGGCTGGTCTCAAACTCCTGGCCTCAAGTTATCCTCCTGCCTCAGCCTCCCAAACTGCTGGGATTACAGGTGTCAGCCACCATGCCTGGCGCAATTTCTAACACTTCTGTGCCTCCATATCTCTATCCACAACCAAGGGCTTCTAAACATTCACCTTTCTCCAAAATGACAAACAGCAGAAGCATTATAAAGCTGTCCATGATGACAGGTGGATTTGTAGCAAAACAGTTATATGAGAAAATAAAGTTCCCTGTGCCTTTGAAATTTCAACAGGAAATGCAGGGCCAGTCATCAGCTCATCTTGCACACACATTTTATACTACCTGTCAGACAGAGAAACTCACTGAAATATACAAGCCGCATGACAAACTCCCTCGGTTGTGGTGGAATGGAGCTCAGACTTGCCTCCAGCACCCTGCGCAGTCATACCTGGGTTGCTGGTGAGAAAGGCGAGGGGGCTCTCGCCGAGGTCCGCAGGGCCGTCCACTCGGTGGGGTGGGCTTTCCAGCAGCTCCACTCCTTCCTCCAGCTCAGGGTAGGTCCTCACCAGGAGGCCCAGCGAGGGCTGTGAGAGGAAATCTTTGAGCATAGATGAGTTCAGGGCGCCAGCAGCACGATTATTGATCTCAAGAATCTCATCTCCTGCTTTCAAGCCTGCCAACGCAAGATGGAAAATTTTTAATTTCACACACATCATCAGAACACAACAGCTTCGGAGCTCTGCTATGAAGGGCACACCTGCTGTGGGTCTCACAGCCCCAGGTACTGCTGCAGACAGGCTGCGGGGCTCAGAAGTGATTCTCAGGAGAGGACATGGGCCTCAGGTTCTGAAGGTTCTAGATTTGCAGGTTACAACATGCCTTGCCAGTCCTTGATACATCAAGCAAACAAGCTTACCCCTTTGTTAATCTCCTTCGTTCAAAGCATCTGCCAATTGCTCACAAATGCTAATTAATTCTGGTTATCTTCCTACACTTTTGGGGTGGGGTGGGGAGAATGGAAGTGCTCCCTGATGACTGCCACCACTGTTTTTTTGTACATGTTCATGCCTCAGTGCACACTGAAGCCACAGCCAGCTAATCTCTATTGATCATTTCCATGGAACCAAAATGCAAGGCGTTCACTCTGGCTCTCAGGACAGAAGGAAGGATGTCTCATTCCAAACACACTTAGAGATGAGTTTCAAAAACCCAATGCAGTCATTTTTGCCCTTTTTGGTTTTGTTTTCAAACTACATCAAGACCTTGGGGTGAATCTCTCTTGGTAGATCCCCAAAAGATCTGCTGGGGAATTGCCAAAGTCTGGGACCCACGGGAATGGCCATGAGCAAGCCCAACCTACAAGAACAGGAAGCTGAGACACCACGGTGCAGTTCAAACCGGCGTTGGAAGAACATTCCAGCAGCTTGAGAAAGGGAGAGGTTGGGAAGAACATGAAAGAAAATAAAATAATCCTTTCAGCTAGGGAAAGAAAAGGAGCTCAATTTCTCATTTTATATACCAATATGGAAAAACCAACTTCAGAAAGAAAGTGAGTGAAGGGCAGGCAAAGACAAATGATAAATTGCAGGAAAGAGAAGGCTCCCAGGCCCTCAGGCATTCCACCCAGATTCTGCAGAAGATGACCCTATGGAGAAGTTCTCACTTCCCAGCTTCACAGAGTCACATGCCCTGGACATCCTTATTCGGGTTTCTAAAATACCTGAAATCAGTTTTCCTTTGTTTTTGGGAGGAATGGTGTCTCACTCTGTTGCCCAGGCTGAAGTGCAGTGGCATGATCTTGGCTCACTGCAACCTCTGCCTCCCGGGTTCTAATGATTCTCTTGCCTCAGCCTCCTGAGTAGCCGGGATTACAGGTGCATACCACCATGCCCAGCTATTTTTTGTATTTTTAGTAGGGTTGGGGTTTCGCCATGTTGGCCAGGCTAGTCTCAAGCTCCTGACCTCAGGGGATCTGAAATTATTTTTATTTTTATTTCTTTATTTTTTCTGAGATGGAGTCTTACTCTGTTGCCCAGGCTGGAGTGCAGTGGCACGATCTTGGCTCACTGTAACCTCTGTCTCCTGGGTTCTAGTGCCTCAGTCTCTGTCTTAAAAAAAAAGAAAAGATAGAAAAGACAGTTCTCTTATTTGAAGCCACCCCGATGGCATTGCTTTGTTATGGCAGCCTTGGTGAACCACTACAGGGGTCTTCCTGAGTGACAATACTCTTGGTATTAATAAGTAACTGGGACTACAGGCGTGCGCCACCATGCTTGGCTAATTTTGTTTGTTTGTTTTGGTTTTTGAGATGCAGTTTTGTTCTTGTTGCTCAGGTTGGAGTGCAATGGTGTGATCTTGGCTCACTGCAACCTCTGCCTCCTGGGTTCATGCAATTCTCCTGCCTCAGCCTCCCGAGTAGCTGGGATTACAGGCGCGTGTCACCATGCCCAGCTAATGTTTTCTGTATTTTTAGTGGAGACGGGGGTTTCATCATATTGGTCAGGCTGATCTAGAACTCCTGACCTCAGGTGATCCACCCGCCTTGGCCTCCCAAAGCGCTGGGATTACAGGCGTGAGCCACTGTGTTCAGCCTTTGAAATCAATTTTCTATCATAAGATACTCTGAGAAACATGATGTGGGAGGAGAAATGAAGGGAAAGAAGAATGGTTTACTTCATATCGGAGACCAAATCCTGAGAAGCAAACCATTTCATTTTCAGAGAAAAGATTTTGGCATCAAAGTATTTGAATTGAAAACACAAAATTTCTACTACATTTGACAAGCGGGGGTTTTCTTTTTTGTTTTTTTGCAGACAGAGTCTAGCTCTATTGCACAGGGTAGAGTGGTGCAGTGGCAGAATCTTGGCTCACTGCAACCTCCGCCTTTTGGGTTCAAGCAATTCTCCTGCCTCAGCCTCCCAAGCAGCTGAAATTACAGGTGTCCACCACCACGTCCAGCTAATTTTTTGTATTTTAGTAAGGACGAGGTTTCCCCGTGTTGCCCAGGCTGATCTCGAACTCCTGACCTCGTGATCTGCCCGCCTCAGCCTCCCAAAGTGCTCGGCTTACAGGCATGAGCCACCACGCCCAGCCTGAGGTTTGTTTTTTGTTTTTTTTTAAAAGAAGTTACAGGTTTATATGACTGGCAGAGTAGGAGTGTGTACAGGTTAAATGGTATCCCCCTAAAAGATACATCTGCATTCCAGAACCCGGGAATGGGAGCTTATTTGGAAAAAAGATCTTTGCTACTCTAAGGAAGTTAAAATCCTTGAGATAATATCATGATGGATTATCAGATGGATCCTAAGACCACTGATAAATGTCCTGGTAAGAGGTACACAGGAGAGAGACAAAGAGAGAAGGTGGCCATGGGAAGGTGGAGGCAGAGACCGGAGTGACACAACCACAAACTCCAGCCACATCTGGAGCCACCAGAAACAAAAAAGCAAGAAAGGACTCGCTCCTAGAGCCTTCAAAGGGAGCATAACTTGTGTACAGCTTGATTTCATACTTCTAGCTTCTCCAGACTGTGAGAAAATATATTTTTCTTGCCGGGTTCAATGGCTCATGCCTGTAACCCCAGTCCTTTGGGAGGCTGAGGTGGGCAGATCACTTGAGGTCAGGAGTTAGAGACCAGCCCGGCCAACATGGTGAAACCCCATCTCTACCAAAAACACACAAAAAATCAGCTAGACATCAGCTACTC